TTTAAACAAATTGAATTCAATACTGAATACATAAACTGCAGATCTGTCGGGATCTCAAGACGGATCAGTGACCCTCTGGGAGTGGAAACACCACCAGTCGATCGCGTGTCCCCGTCCGGGCGGCACGTTCTCCAAAGTGACTCGAGTGGCATTCAATCAACAGGGAAACAAGTTCGGGGTCACCGACGCCGACGGTAACCTCAGTCTCTGGCAGATCGCCACCACTCAGAACAAGCCTTTCTTCGTATGTTATTCTCATTAATTTAAATACTATTCTCTGTAATGAACTCATGTGTGCTTTCGTGTGTCTGTGCAGAGCATGCAGTGTCACTCGAAAACGGCCAGTGATTTCACATTCTTAGGGGCCTCTAGTCTCGTGATGACTGCGGGCCAGTCAGCGGATCACAAGAACATAGCTCTTTGGGACACTTTATTGCCACAAAAGAAATGTCTGGTGACGTCATTCGCATGCCATGAACACAGCGGTGCCTCTGCTATACTATACGCACCACTCAATCAATTACTGATAACCGGAGGCAAAAAGGGAGACGTCTTCGTGTTTGATATGAGACAAAGGGTTCAAAGGGACAGATTTCAAGCGCACGAGTCGGCCGTCAAATGCATGGCTTTAGATCCGGGGGAGGAGTTCTTTGTCACCGGTTCTGCTGACGGAGACATTAAAGTAATTATTAAAACAATTTTTACATTTCTATGCGCTTTTTATAAGTCTTTTGGTTTGATGTCAAAACAAATTCTCTACTTTTCATTGAATTATATTTTCGCATATTCTGCTCAATGGATGCAAAGATTGAGTTTATGATAACGATATGATTTGATTGTTTGTTTGAATAGGTGTGGGGTTTGGGTGCTGTGCGGATCCTATTCTACTCATTTCCAGGCGAACATTCCAGGAGTACTCTATTCCGGAACATAGGAATGGGTGTTTCGCACCTATACGTCGACCAAAACGGACGACTCTTCTCGTGCGGAGCGGACGGGTCGATGAAATTCCGGCAATTGCCCGATCGGGGCATCAATAATATTATTAATACCATTTAATAATCACATTAAACGAGAGGCAACTCTTCGCTACATTTATTTATTCAGAAATCAAGTGTTTTATTGAAATTCAAGAATTAAACTAAATATGAGTTTATTCTTCACTTTTATCTCAGAAACGATTGAAAACTAAAGACTAGTCATAATATGTTATATAAATCTATGTGTGATATAAACCAATCGATTTCATTAATTAATCGGAAATACAGACTAATTAGTCATTAAGAATAGAATCGATTTTTTCATTAAATGTTAAAATTAATTGTTTTATTTGGCATTAAATCTTAGACTTAATTTACAAACATTTTCAATGATTTTTATTAAGAATCCAATTATTTTGGATTAAAACTTATTTATAAATATTTGTTTTGATTGAATTCAATTCAATTATTTATTAAATGAATTTATAATTATTTGTTATCAAGAATAAACTCTCTTTTATCAAATCATATGTCCGTGTCTTGTGCTTAGTCTTCGAGAAGCATTTCCAGCAGATCTCTGTCCGCCAGTTGTTGCTCTTCTAACCTATTGGACTGTTTGTGGCAAACATTGCCTTTAAATGGTCTAATCGTGTGAAGAGAAGTGCATTCATTTGACTTACATTTTGCCAATTGATAAGAGTTGGCACACATTTCACTCGCAACTGGTTATGAGTGCGGAAAGCGTTGTTCGGGTTCTTCCAACTGATCCAACAATTCATTACTTAGTTTCCAATCATATCTCATATCTATGCTAAGAATCGATGATAACTCACGTGTCTCTGTCGCCCACGTAAATGGTAATGAATACGACATCATCTGATTTGGCGCTCAAGACTTCGTGAATGACAGGTTCGGTATCATTACAGTCGGGACACCAGCTCTCACCCGACGGCCCCTTAGAGCCGGTGAACAGCAGAAGAATGGTTTTGCTGCTATCGCTCGCAATCTCTGCAATGGTTTGCAAAAGAGTTTGGATGTCGTTATCAATAGTCAATGCCTTCATCGCAGCGACGGTTAGCCTAAGCGCTGATACGTTGGAAGAGATCGTGACTCGAAAGACAGGTGCGATTGAGTGGTCGACCGGTGCGCCTACCAGTGCCTCACAGTTGCCAACAATGCTATTGTGAACCAAATTAAGAAAAGTTTGAGAATTGTATGAATGAATGGCAGAGAGAGGGGAGACCTTAGAGTGAGGGCTGAGACAAAAAACTCAATGAATGAATGGTTTGCTGCAAATCCGTACTACCAGTGCAGGAATGGGTGAAAATACACTGTAGTATTATAGAGGAGTAGTAGTAATAGTAATACTCAATGTTTTGGGGGAAATACACCACTTCTGGGCTTTGGTTTCATTCATACATTTCTTCGCTCTATGTTTGAGTTGAGAGCGATATCTATGGAAAGGAATGGTTTGTGCGCTTAGAGTGAGGCGAGCATTGAAGGCCAGCACCGGTAGTATAGAGCTAGTGGTGCTCTAATGCACTGCAATTGTGACACAAAAAGTTTTTTCTGCAAACTATTAGTTTACTTACGATTAGGACGAGTGGAGTGCCGGTGCCAGTAGTGGTGCAGGAGTAGTGAAAAAATGTTTGTCAAGTTGTGCCTGTTTTGCACATATGCCTCGATATGCCATTTCATTCAGTCATCCATCCATTCATAGCCTCAGCCCTCACTCCACTCCGAGTCCAGACCTGAACGTGCAGTTCGTGTCACAAGTGATCGACGCTTTCCATACCATTCACTCATTCAGTGGATTCGCAAGACTTTTGCAAATAATGGATCAAAATGGAAACTCTTGTCATTAACAAGGATTGTAAAGTCAGTGAGTCTTATGACATAAACTTGCAAAAAGTTTGTTTGAAAAGACATTTGAAAAAAGTTTATAAAAAAGTTTTGGAAAACAATCTGAATGTGAAAGCCGTGAAGAAAGCGCTGAGGAATAGGAAAACTCTTTACGAAAGTCAACCCAAAGTGAAAATGAAAGAAGAAATGAGTGAAAAGTGTGTGTCTTATGAAGTGATGGCCAAAAGATTGATTGGCAATCGTTTTGTGCAGAGTTTGTGTTCGTTAATGGTATTAATAATAGCAATATATGTGAGACGTTGGGATCATATGATGTCTAGTCGTTGTGTTGTGTCCAACAACTACTTCGTGATGGAAGCGAGTCGTCCGCCCACTGACTGTCAGATCTGTCGAAATGTGGACCGCTTTCTGATCCTCGAGAACACCACGAAAGAGGAGTTCGCGAAGTATGCCTATACGGGTCAACCGATTCTCGTGCGCGGCGCTACCCATCACTGGTCAGCCCTCAAGACATTCAGCTTTGACTTCTTCCATGAGATCTATTCGCAAACTCCCGGCGCTTACGAGAGCGTTGAACACGAGTGTCAGTTCTTCCCATTCAAGAGTGAATTCAATCATTTGAGTGAAGTCTTCGCTATGCCTGAGGACAGGGTTCGCATGAGTCCTATGAGTGCCTACTCATCGAAGCCCTGGTATATCGGATGGTGAGTCCGAGTGTCCAGTTTGTGTCCATATATCATACGACACTCTTTGTTTCATTTCGTATTACCCCTCAAAAAGGCATCCAATGCTTATGTTTAGAGTTTGTGTGCATTATATGAGTATTTGTTGTGTTTTCACTACAATTGCAATGAATTCTTGATATTCTGGTGTATTCTCTAAACACTGTCATTGAGTCCTAAGGGGTGGTTGACTGACGTCTCGCAGCAGTCGATCAGTGCCTGCAATGACTGCAATGACTGATGCCATGAATGCGCTCTTTTTGCAACTCGTCTGACGTCTGACTGCTGTCCCTCTAATGTCCTCTCATGTAATGAATTTCCTTTCAATGATGTGCACAAAAATTTGACTAAAAAACGGATGCTTTACTGTCGGAAAACTTTTGTGCTCTCTCTCTCTCTCTCTCTCTCGCTCGCTCGCTCTCTCTCTCTCTCTCTCTCTCTCTCTCTCTCTCATTATATAAATAGAAAAATTGTATTTTGTATTTTGCATCTAAACTAATAACTTAAGTCAAGGCTATCATTAAAAATGGAAACTTTTTGTTAAAAATAGGAGTAATTGTAATCCAGAAATTGCATCGATTTTACGTAAACATTACTCGAGACCCACTTTCCTACCGGACGACTCCGAGTCGAGTGCTATAGATTGGATCTTTATGGGCTACTCGCAAATCGGGGCCAGTATGCATGTATGTGTGCCTATTATATGAACATTCATATGCATAAGCAGTTCTGTTAACTCTATTTCCGGTTAACTATTTTGTGAACAGTTTAACCACAAATCATTAGTATCTCAGAAAATGCCCTTTAAGTATATGTTGCACTTTTGGGATGAAGTTTGCCAGATATATGGAAATGGGAGGTCTAGGGATACAGTGGCATATTATACTCTTTTCTTTTTGTTTATTCAAAATCAAAAGTTAGAATTTGTATATAACATCAAAGTTAGAAACACCAAATGATTACTTTGAATTTAAATGTAAGAGTTAGTTGAATGTCGAAAACTCTTTTACTTTATATTCAAAACGCGTTTTCGTATAAAAAAGTTGTCATTTTGCAAAATAGCTAGTGAAAAGGTGTTTCATGTAATCAATAGCATAACCTATAATTTAAAATGAATTTTTTCTTTATTAAACTCATAATTGAGCGGAAATTTGAGTTGGGGATGGAGTTAACAAAAATGCTTTATTTGTATAATAAATATAATTGAAGTGTATATTGAGGCGATTATTGAATTGTTTTGGCCCACAGTTAGACTACGTGCAGAGGCCTTCATGGCAGGCACAGATATCTGGCAGCAAAACCTGGCATTTGTTACCACCGCCTGAGTGTGAAAGAGAGTGCAAAGCCATTAACATAACCGTCCAAACGGGAGAAATAAGTACGTGATGTCATGTAATTTACACAACCATTGAAAGACTAATTTTCATGTTTGGTATACAATGTATTACACAAACATTTTCTGCTTAAACTGCTATTTATTTAGTAACAAATCACTACATTAATGGTGTATTTGACAAATATTAATAATGTGTAACGATTTTATTTATAAATACCTTTATTTTCAGTATTGATTGACACTAATCAGTGGTATCACGACACTCACATTAATCCCGGTCCCATCAGTATTACAATTGGATCAGAGTATGACTGACAAGATAACTTATTCATATAAAGTTTTTGTATTTTTTATATTTATTTTATTACAAAATTTAATGTTGTTTTAGAGTTTCTATTTATAATATTTAGAATTCATTTGAATAAAAGTTTTTTTAGTCAAATCTTATCATTTGTTTAATTATTCGCAAAAAATTATAATAAAATTGTAAAATCTATGAAAAATCGGAAACGTTTTCAGAGCTGAGATTTATAGTAATTTTCGGATACAATAAGGGATGGATGTTGTGTGAGTTGACTCACTTGGGAACAGCCCGACAACGCCAGAGCCATATCGAGTTCCTTTCGCAGGATTGCAAACACTTCCTCCACGCCATTCACTCCCTAATCAATGAATTGAACCATAATTTTAATGAACAGTACATGTGATTGTCCTAAACATCTCATTTGAACGGAAGTCATATTACATCATAACAGAGTCCCCACAATATAGGTCTTCCGACGAATACAGCTCTCGCACCCAATGCCAACGCTTTAATTACCTGTTATTAAACAAATGTTTTATCTTTTATTTATATAATATAGTATTTATATTAGCATTAGTTTTGTTTTTAAAGCAAATATTTAAACCAAAAATTAAAATTTATAGCTAATAGTATTAAACTAACTTAAAAACAAACTATTTTTTAGAATAGACTGCTATTTAGATAAAGATTTAAATGATCTAATATTATAAGTCGTTTGGTGTTGCTTATGGTTTTAGTTTAGAGATCACATAGGATTAGATCTGGAAATATATAAAAGATGTCAAATATGTTTGTCTCTCACATCAGTTCCCGTTCGTACGCCTCCATCCAAATACACTTCACATCTATTTTGGACGGCTTTCACCACTTCCGGTAGAGCCTCGATCTGATAGTCACACAAACAGCACGTGTTTTAAAGCTTTAATTAATTATATGTGAGGTTTATATGGGCTCACAGTGGAGGGCACGCCATCCAACTGTCGCGCGCCATGATTTGACACCAGGATAGCAGACGCCCCGTATTTTACGGCTAATAAGGCGTCTTCTCGAGTGAGGATTCCCTTCAAAACCAGCGGTAGTTTTGTTATTGACTTCAACCACAGTATATCTTTCCAAGTGAGAGACGGGTCGAACAGAGACAGAGCGTACTCCGCAAGACCTGACTGTCCTTTTGTGGGCGAGTTCTGTATGGAATCGGATTCCGTGTTTCCCTCCCCGAAGTTGGCCAGCCGTAGGTGTGGCGGCAAACGAAACTGATTCCTCGCGTCCGCAAACCTATTACCAAACATCGGAGAGTCTACTGTAAGGACCAGTGCTTTGAAACCACTGTCCTCTGCCCGCTTCACCAGTCCTCTGGTAACCGCTCTGTCCTTATAGATGTATAACTGAAACCATTTGACACCATTTGGAGCGGCATTTGCCACCTCTTCCAACGATGAGGTGCTGATTGTACTCAAAGTCATTATAGTTCCCACAGATTCACACGCTTTCCGTTTATATGCAAACAAATTGAATGTTA